ATTATTTCTTCAAAGACACTTTCTATCCCTTTTTCTCTCTCTTCTTCCTCTGGTACCCCTATAATGCGGATATTGTTCCTTTTGGATTGGTCACACAGTTCTCTTAAGATTGTTTTATTCCTGGAGATCCTTTTATCTCTCTCTGCATCAGCTTCTATGCGTTCCTGTTCTCTGGTTTCTATTCCATCAATGGCCTCTTGCATCTTATCCATTCTGCTTATAAATACTTCCAGAGATTGTTTCATTTCTGTAATCTCCCTCCAGACGTTATCCCTTAGCTCTTGTATGTTTCTCTGCAGCTCCATCAGCATTGTTATGACCTTTATTTTGAATTCCTTTTCAGGAAGATTGGTTAGGTGTATCTCCTTCTCTGGGGTTGACTCTGTGATTTGGTCTGTATCAAATTATTTTACCTTTTCATGGTGATAGAGGTAGTTGTGCGGGGCTGGCACTGTGTGTTGGCTGGGAGAACATCTCTTCTTGATGGTTTGTGGCCTTCCTCTCCTGGGAGAACAGTGACCTCTAGCGGCTTGTGCTGGGCAGCTGTGCGCAGACAGGGCCTCTGATTCTTTCCTGGCCACTGTGGCGTTAAGCTCTGTGGTTGCTCTGGGTGTCGCCAGCCTTGGTCTACTGCTCCAATATGGTGGAGCTGCATTGGAGGGGAGACAGGCAGCAGGCTGTTTATCCCCGTGATGGCCCTCCAAGCTGCGCTGCCGCCCAGGGGGTTAGGGTGCCCCGTTTTCCGTGGGATTCCCAGCTGCTGGGCTAAGTGTCCCAGGATGCCTCTGTCCATCTGTAGTGTCCCTTTACATTTAAGACTTTCAAAAGGCACTCGCTTTTCTTTGTCCCTGTGGCGCCGGCCACTGGGACCTGCTCACAGGTCTTACTGTCCTGTTTCCTTAGTTTCCAGCACCCCATGCCTGCATTATGTGTCTGCACTCCAGTGCAGATGGCTACGGCTGGGTGTTCAGCAGTCCTGGGCTCCCTCTCCCTCCCCACTCCAACTCCTCCCTCTGGGAACTGGGGTGAGGGGCGCTTGAGTCCCACTGGGCCGCGGCTTGTATCTTACCCCCTTTGTGAGGTACTGGGTTCTCACAGGTGTGAATGTAGTCTGGCTGTTGTCCTGTGTCTTCTGGTCTCTCTTTTAGGAATAGTTGTATTTGTTGTATTTTCAAAGATCTATATGGTTTTGGGAGGAGGTTTTCACTGCTCTACTCTAGCCGCCATCTTGGCTCCACCCCAGTGTATGTTATGTTATGTAAGTGATAACACAATGAAGCTAATTTAAAGCATACAACATGGATACAAAAGTACCTATACCTAGTACACAAAAAGATATAGAAAACTTGAGTTTGATAGATAGTGGAAACTATTATAAAAGAAAATGTTCCAAATGGGGATTTTCATGACTTTCAAATAACAGAAAGAAAGGACTCAATAGACAGGTTAAACAACAAATTAGACAAGAGAGAGAAAAGGTTAGCCAAGTGGAATTGAGAACATGAATTCCAGAAGTGTATGATAAACAGTGTGTGAGGAAAATGATAAAGAAGAATGAAGACCCAGTACAAGCACAAGGTGTAAGGTAATTAAGTCTCACATATGTGGAATTGGGATACTAGAAGGAAATAGGACAGAGAAAGTGCAGAGACACTATTTGGAGACTGCAAATTTGATAGGTGACACCAAGGCACAATTTTAATATACACTGAAAACCCTAAGGAGGCCATCAAAAAAGAAAATCATAACTTGGACACAAGAGGAAATTTGCTGATGGCAAAAAAAACCCAAAATCTTCGAAGCTCCCCCCAAAAAGGAGGACTTTCAAAGGAGCAACCACTACCAAGAATGGAAATAATGAAAAATAGTAGAAGCTAGAAGATTAAGTGCTGATAAGAAAAAGCAGAGATACACAAAATTGTATAACATTTAAGAATAAAATGGCCCTCCCGCAGTGCCACGCACACCTTGCCCCCATGTTCCACCTGCTCCCGTGTCACCCCACCACCCCAATCCTGCTCCACTTCCCCATGCATGTTCCCACTAACCCCCTTCCTGCTACCTCCTTGCCCCACATCAGCCATCCCCACTCCAGCCCTCCCCGATCCCAGCCCAACTACTGATGTTTTGGCCTGCCTTTTCTAGAATTGTATGGGAAGAGGGGCGAGTATGGGTGATGGTTTATCAACATCACAGAACCAACCAGTATGTTGGAGTCAGGATCAGAAGTGTGGCTTCCCAAAGCCAGAATGACATTGAACACACCATTTCTCTGGAGATATATGGAAGTGTCACCAGGGGGGAAGACAAGAAGAGAAGTCAGGAGGATGTTTCTGAGATTTTCTTATTTATCTTCCCTAATAATTAAAGAATTGAAAATTTAAAAAGTCCAATATACTACCTCATCCATATTAAACTATTAGCGATACATTCTTTTTAACCAGTTAAGATTGCTTTGAAGACTCAAGTATACTGATACATAGCTTGTGAAACTAGTGGGCTTATATTTTTGGAAGGAAAGCTGACAACATGTATTAGAGATCACAGAACTCATATCCTTTGATTTGGCAGATCTGCTTTGGAGAGCAAATTCCAAGGAAAGAATCCAGTGAGGGAAATACCCATTTTTTGCAAAGATGTTTATAGCTCTGCTTTTCATAATAGTAGAAGAATCCAAAGTCATTGACAGCCAGGAAATGGCTAAGCAAATCTTGAAAAAGTAATACAATGAAACATCATGTAGCCATTAAAATGCCAAATATTAGGATTATGTGGATTTATGGAACAATCTGTATGAAATAATGTCCAGGGGGTAAAGAATAAAACAAAACAGCTAATCCCTAAGAATAAGAACATGTAAAAAGTATGCACTGTGAAACCAATCTACTCTGAAGCATCAAATTTTGGAAGAAAAAATTTTTTAGTGAAAGGACATTTTTTTGTACTTGTCAAGTGATTTTCTTTTGTATTTCACAAACATTTCATATTATTTTTGGATAAGTTAGAAAATAGAAATACACACAAAAAATTCTTTAACATTATCTCAGAAATATACTGGTAATATTTTGGCCTACATTCTTTCAGTCTTTTTTCATATATACTGTACTTGATATGCTTTAATTACTACCCCTTCTCCTTGAACACTCCACTGATTTTTCTTTGAAGACTATTTCCCCACCCCTCTACCCCAATTCTCACTTATGTGATTTGGATAAGGGGTCTCGAGCAAAGTTCCTCAGCCTCAGTACTTCAGGTATCTGAAACCATATAATTCTTTTTTTTTTTAATTTTGGTATCATTAATCTACAATTACATGAAAGATTATGTTTACTAGGCTTACCCCTTCACCTAGTCCCCACCACATACCCCTTCACAGTCACTGTCCATCAGTGTAGTAAGATGCTGTAAAATCACTACTTGTCTTCTCTGTGTTGCACAGCCCTCCCCATGCCCCCCACACACTATACATGCTAATCATGATGTCCCCTTTCTTTTTCCCCACCCTTATCCCTCCCTTCCCACCCATCCTCCCCAGTCCCTTTCCCTTTGGTAACTGTTAGTTACCAGACTGCAGTCCAGACTGTTAGTCCATTCTTGAGTTCTGTGATTCTGCTGCTGTTTTGTTCCTTCAGTTTTCCTTTTTCCTTATACTCCACATATGAGTGAAATCATTTGGTACTTGTCTTTCTCCACCTGTGAAGCCATATAATTCTTGATGTGTGTTGGAGGGAGGGAGGGAAGCAGCTGTCTAGTGTATTATAGGATGTCTAGTGGCATTCCTGGCCTCTACCCACTGATGCCAACAGCAGCAGCCTCCAGTTGTGACATTGCCAAATGTCCCCTGTGAGCAAAATCACCCTGGGTTGGGAACCACTGATAGGATACAGATGACTGTATTCTGAAACCAGTTAAACTATTGTTTAGTGTACTTTAAAGTCTCACATAATAGGTATCATCCTGTTGGGATGCTTTTACAATTTGATTTTCTCATTCAGTGTTGTATTTTTTAAAGTGGAGATAGATTTTAGATAGTTTTAAAATATTTTATTTAGGATTATCAACTTTATATTCAAAACTGAGTTTATTTTGTAATTTTCTTTTCTCATGGTCCATTGCCTGGTTTTCATGTATCAGACTTAAGCTCTAGCCTCACCAAATGCATCTACAAGTCTTATGCATATTGTTCAAAATCAATTGATGAAGCTATGTATCATAATTGTAATGGTTTCACTGTTTGGATGTATCATAATTCACTTACAGATTGAAAAAGATACTATGTGTTTGTCAGTAATCTTAATTGTGAGGATGGTGTATATTTAATAAAACCAATTTAAGAATTTAAAAAAAAAGAATAAAATGGTCAGACTGCAGATAAAATCATCAGACCACAGGAATGAAAGGCCAAGAAGAGCCAAGAGCAAATGCATCCCAATGTATGTGAAGCTTATTGTATGTAAAGGGGCAAGGATCACTGCAGTAATAAGACTGTGCACTGAAACAAAAAGTTATTTTTGTATGTCAGCAGAGAAGTATATGACAACAGCATTTGTCCCAGAAAGAACAAATTTATGTTGAAGAAAAATGATTTAAATGATAAACAATTCTACTTCATTTTGATTGTTTCTATGACTTACACAAAATGTATTATCAAGGTCAGAAAGACAAGGAAAGATTGAAGAAATGTGGAAGGTGACAAAAGACTAAGGAGAAATAACTAAATATGAAGTATATCCTGGAAAAGAAAAAAGACAATGTAAAAATGGCAGTACTTCCAGTAAAGTCCAGTTTATAATACTGTACCACTGAATTTCTAGTTCTCGAAATATCTGCAGTGGTGAGTTGTGCTGTTACCTTTAGAGTAAGAGGGGTGCTGAGATGCTATAGGGACTCTACTTGACCTGTCACTGCATCTTTTCTATAAAACTAAAATGTGTTGACAATGAGGTTATTACATTTGTATTGTTTATTTATTTTTGTCTCTTGTTTTGTGTCTCTGGCAGACTCCTACAGTGATAGTCATACTCACATTCAAGGAAACCCTGAGACAGAGATCCCACAGCACATCATAGGTTCCACTTGCCACCTCTTCAGCCTGGTAAGGAGGGAATATGGCTGGTGGGGAGACAGGCATATGAAGGTTCCTGAGCCCCAAAGTGATGGTGTCAACATAAAATTCATTGGTGGTAAGACCAGTACCTCCCTCTAGGATAGCAACAATGGCCCCAGTCCTGCCCTGAAACCCTAGGAGGTCTGACTTTTAGAGTGCATTCTTGGACATAGTGAAAACAGCCCACCTCCTCCACCTAAACCTGGGTCTGGCCAGGAGAGCCAGGCCATGTAGGGCCTGGCCAGGGGAGCGTATTCTCCTGAGTTGGGCACATTGGTGGGCTGCACCTTCCTAATTCCACAGAGGCAACTTCAAAACCTCTACCCAAAGAGGGGTGGCATGCCTCTTAGGGTACCTTTTTGGAATCGCTGCACCTACCCTCTCCTGCATCCCCCTTCATACCTGTTCCCTTCAGATTCCTGGACCTGGCCACAGAGGGTGGTACCTCCAGGGTTAGATGCAGCATTGGTGTGTTGGCAGGAATCTTCCTTCTTTAACAGGAGCAAGTCCTCTTTCTAGAGGCCTTCCTGGAGCCAGGGCTCTTTCCAAAGTAGTTGTCCTCCTAAAAGAGTCTAGCCCCAGGTGGCAGGGACTGGCCAGACTTTCCTTTAGAAACAGGCAAACCATATAAGGGTCTCCCTTTGCCCTGCATGTGTGAACTCAGAGGGTTTGGTCTGAATTTCTTTTCATCAAGTTCTCTAGTCTCATGAGGCCTTTCTCCTTCAATCATTGAGCATCTCTCCCAAGAGAAATACCCTAAGGACAGGAAAGCATGGCTTCCACCAGCCTTAAAGTCAAGTTCCAGAAAAATAGGGAGATTTTCATGCTGGGAAAGATGTTCAGGTGCTTTCTGTTTCCCAAGAGCTCTCTGGTTTTTATGGCAGACATGTGCTTTTCCTTCCCCAGACATATTCCTCCAGTTGAGACCTCAGGCCTTTCCTTTCCCTGACAAATTAGGTGCTGTTGCTGGGGGTTTCTGATGGGAGACTGTGGGACTCTTTGTCACGTGCTTATTCATGTGGGAAGACTCTCTCCACTTTCTTCTTCTCTTATTCTTGGAGGGGAGTGTTAAAACCAGAATACTGGTGGGTATTTAGGTTGGGCCACTTACACCAAAAACTGTTTCAGATGTTTTTGTCCCTCCACAATGGGGAGAAAATGAAATGGATATAACTGCTGTAGAGAGAAACCCAATGAGGAAGAAATGGTTTCTTCCAGAGCCTTGTGGCTTTTATCAGGATATACCTGAAGGAACTCCCACGGTTGAAGCTTATGTTATGGTAACATCCAAACTACGAGCCAGTCCACAATTCATCAGAAATAGAAATGAAAATCTGCACATCTGATTTAACATGAATTACGCTGTAACAGTTTATGGATAGGTACAGGGGAGGTATGAACATGGATCCAATCATAGGTGACAGACACAGAAGGGAAAGGTTGCATCTACACAGGGAATGGATCTCTTTTATGGATTTAAATAAAGGCCAACACTAGCCAAAGAAATGAAAGATGGGCCCAGGACTTGCTGACACAGCAAGCAACGACCTAAGCAGGAGGGCCCCAGAATGAAAAGTGAACCTGCTGAAATAGAATTTGTACACCCCACAGCAGGAGAAGAGAATACTATCGGAAGATACTGAAGAGCAAACACTAGCATGGACAATAAAGAAACATTGGACACGTATAGAATTGGGATCCAGCTAGGAAAGCTGGAGAGACAATATCCAGGACCACGAGAGAATATGTACTGTTAACCCACGGTCCGAGAGCTGGTAGGCAGGAGGAAACAACAACAAAAAACCCAACACCCAACACCCAACAAACAAGGAAAAGCCAAAACAAAACAGGAAAACCACCGCCTCCACCACAGCATTTCCAAGCAGCAGCCCTCAACCTGAGCACCCCCTAGTAGGGGAATTTTGGGGTCTGGGCCTCCAGCGGTCCCTCTTCTTCCCCGGTGACCTTGTGGCTGTGCTGTGTTTGGCCGTGTGGCTGAGTGTGACTTGGTTTCTTCCCTCCTTGTTTTTCCTGGGTTCTCTTAAGGCGTGCCTGACTTGCTGATGGCTTGGGTCGGGCAGTTGTTAGGGAACCTGCTCTGAACCAACTTCCCAGTAAAGAAAGTGGAAGCCAGAAGATGAAGGCTGGTAGGCCAACACACAGCTATGCTGGATACAGAGCAGGGGTGGATTTTCCATACAGACTGCCTCAGAGCCGACTGTGTGGCCTCAAGGGGATTTCCTCCTCTTCATCATGGCACTCTTGATGGATAAGATTTTGTTTTGAGGGGAGGGGTGGCACTGAGTTATGAGCACCTTCTTTGACCTGTTTGGGCACATTTCCTCCAAGTCGAAAAGGAGTGCCCAATAAAGTCTTATGTTCTTATGTTTGGAAAGGTAACTCTCAGGATGGAGAGGAGCTTCCTAACGACTGCTCAACCCAGCCACCAGCAAGTCAGGCATGCCGCAAGAGAATCCAGGGAAAACAACATGGAGGGAAGAAACCAAATCACACCGAGCCACACAGCCAGACACAGCAATACAGCCACAAGGTTACTGGGAAGAATGGGGATGGTAGGGAGGCTTCCTCTTACACAGGGCAGCTCCTTGGGCTCTGGTTCCAAGCGCTGAAGTCCCTGAATGAGCAAAGCCTCTCAGATACACAGGCACCCATCTTGTGATCAATGGCTGAGCTGACCCATTCCAGAACAGTCCCAGGCACAGCCTCAAGGCTGACCTGAGTAAGGTTAGTAGGCTCCTGGTCCTGCTTGGTCAGCCTGGCCCTGGCACGGCTGGGCCTGGCTGCACCTTTGGGATCTTCAACTATCCATCCTTCTATAAATCCTTCCACCCACCCACCCACCCACCCATCCATCCATCTATCCACCTATCCACCCAACCACCCTCCTTACCTCCCTTTTCATACTCAACCATCCATCCTGCTAGAACTATAAATCCATCCATCATCCATCCAGCCATCTTGTACACTTTAAATGGGTGAATTTTATGGCAACTGAATTACATCTCAATAAAGCTATTATAATTTTTAAAACATATTATTGTGCATCATAGTAAGTTCTCATAAAGGAGTATAGAATCTTGCTCATTGACTTTAAAGGATCTGAACTAGGGAAATGAAAATCTAGAGAAATGTTATTATGTAACAGTATAGGTACTAGGTTATGCAGAAAGCTTTATGAGGATTTTTATATTTTAATACAGAAAAGGCATCTTAAGCTTAAAAAAGATACATTTACAATTGTCAGAGGAATTTTCCGAAGTCAGGGTGGTCATCAAATGGAAAATTTAAGTTTAAAAGTGTTAACCACATAGTTATATACCCTGAATATTAAAGTGACACTCAATTTTATTATTTCTTCACTCCCCAAAAAAGGGGGTTGGGGTTAAACAGCCCCAATAACAATATCTATTTCTAAAATACCAGTTGTGACAAATCAAAATATTAAGAAATAACTATTTTACAATCATTAAGAATTGAATTTTCCACATCCCCAATTATATAACTAACAATTGGTCATTTATCTTTTTTTTTTTTGGTATCATTAATATACACTTGCATGAACAACACAGTGGTTACTAGATTACCCCCATTATCAAGCCCCCCCACATACCCCATTACAGTCATGTCCATCAGCGTAGTAAGATGCTGTAGAATCACTACTTGTCTTCTCTGTGCTATACTGCCTTCCCTGTGCACCCCCCTCCCCACATTATGTGTGCTAATCATAACGTCCCTTTTTCCACCTTATCCCTCCCTTCCCACCCATCCTCCCCAGTCCCTTTCCCTTTGGTAACTGTCAGTCCATTCTTGGGTTCTGTGAGTCTGCTGCTGTTTTGTTCCTTCAGTTTTTGCTTTGTTCTTTTACTCCACAGATGAGTGAAATCATTTGATACTTGTCTTTCTCTGCCTGGCTTATTTCACTGAGCATAATACCCTCTAGCTCCATCCATGTTGTTGCAAATGGATTTGTTTTCTTCTTATGGCTGAATAATATTCCATTGTGTATATGTACCACATCTTCTTTATCCATTCATCTACTGATGGACACTTAGGTTGCTTCCATTTCTTGGCTATTAGCAAAAATTAGCCAAAATTAATTTGATTCCAGGAAACAGGAATCCAACTTGGGAAAACAATGAAAGTAAGTTTCAGGACAATGATATAATACAACTGGAGCCACAGAGTGCTGGGCTGAGATTCTAATTGGATGTTTTTATAGCTGAAAATCATGTGTGGACATTTAACATATCCTTTGGAACATCTCTAAAAATTAGCAACAGGTACAAAGAAAACTAAATCCTCAACAAACAAAAATGTTTCTAAGAAAAGAAATCTACTTTTTTAAATATTTTAAATAATTTACATAATTAGCATATAAATACCACATATTGACTTAACCAAAATTGTAAAACAATCATATTTGGAGGTGGATCAAGGAGAAAGTAGGTGTTTTTTTTTTTTATGTTAAGTGAGGTATGGATCATTACACTGAACATTTTTATTGCTAGAGATATTTTTAGCTACAAAATGAGACTGATCTTTTAACTAAAAGTGTTAAAAGAAACTTTTATTATCTGAGAGATTGAAAACATTATTGAATTTATCCAAGATTTCATCTAGAAGCAGGAAAAAAACATCCCATCCACAAAAGAATATTGCAAGTGCAGTTATGGGAAAAAGAAAATGCCCCCTCCTTTGTTTTATGCTGTCCTTTGAACTTCAACTTTCTGATTATATACTCCTACAATCATATCATTCAGAAATCATCAATTTCCAAAGTTTTTTGTGGCAATAATTATTTTGCTCACCTAACTACTCACATTCCTGAGGGCACGACCAAGGTACCAACATCCAGTAACACAGTGGACCCTGCTCTCCCCCTGTCCCCCCGCCCAACACACAGTGTGCATGGAAAGCAAGAACCATGAGGGCTGGCCTATCAAAACCGTCCCTGCAATAACACACAACAGAACAATAGGGTATTTATTTTATCTCTAATCCATCTCAGGTTCTCAGCTGGTATTCTTTAACAAAAAGCCTAACAGGAGAAAAACAATTTATTAATGTGTGTGCACATGTCATGTGGGAGAAACCTTAACAAAAGAAAAGCCAGGTGGTCTCTTAGCACTCCGGTTTATATAGCATCTTCAACAAAGAACAATAAATTTGTGGAGAAATGACAGGATAAAAAAAAATCAGTTTTAGGCTCCCAAAGGTGGCAAACTGTGGAAGGAACCTAATGGAGTAAGGTTTTTTTGCAGACATCTTTGGTGCTGTGCTAAGAACCTAGAGTTGTCTCCAGTAAAGGAGAATTTATATCCTGTCTTTAGGCACAAATGGAAGAAGGTAGAAAGAGCTTTTTCTGCCTTTGATGCTTCTAAATTGCCTTCAGCGCAAAATAAGTTTTATGCCAAAGAGGCGTATTTTGGGGTAACATAGTCTGGTTTCCCTCAAGGCACAACCACCTTCAAAATATACACACAATCTCAGGCACTTCGCTCTTGCGTTGGGAGGGGAACAGGCCCCAAATGGAGTAGTTTTTCCTCACAACAGCAAACCAAGAGTTAATTGCGTTTCAACCTCTCCCAGGAATGTGACTTTTTAACAGTCAACCTGAAATTTCCAGATCATTACTAGTGATGTCATCTGTGGGTCTCTTCCCTAAAAAAGAATATGACCTGGCCTGAAACAAATCGTTATTTCTTTTTCAGTTTGCTAGGAAGTTCCTTGACCAACCTTCCTGCCTATAAAAACCTTCTATTTTGTCCTTGGAGCTCCTATTAGAAGCGATGTTGCGCCATTCAGGAATTGCTGAATAAGCCAATTAGATGTTCAAAAACTGAGTAAGCCTGGCAGTGCAATGGGCACAATCATAGACAACCCTCCCTCAGCGCCATCCCAGAGGGGGTTCCAAAGAATGACACACACGCAGGAACAGCTCGGTGCACGAAAACGCAACCCGGTTCCCGACCACACCCAGGCCCGAGGGCACCGCCAACCAGTCCCTCAGCAAATGCCACAGGGACCACGCCGGGGCACTGGGGGGTCACAGTCAGGGTCACCATTACAAGCTTTAAAGATCTGGGCACTGGGCCTAATCCAGGATCCTGCTCCACTCTCTTCAGAAAGCCCCGACTTTTCCTCCCCCAACCCCTCGGCAGATGTCCCCCCCACCCCCACCCCAAGAGCCTCCACACCTCTGAAACCTCTGAAGAGTACCAAGTACGCCCTACGCCCCACCGAGGCCGCGCTCCGGCTCAAACAGCAACTCCCAGGAGTCTCAGGGCTCCGCTCTTGGGGGCGGGGCGCTCGGCCTGCTAGGGGGCGGGGCCGAAAAACCAAAGGAGAAAAGAACGTAATAGAGCTTTTCTGACTGACTACAGTTCCACCGTGGAGGAGGCCTCGATTATCCTCGACAGCACCAGTCATTCACCGGGTCACCGTTATAGGCGTGAGGAATCAGGTCCCTCGGCCCTTCCGGAACCTCTGCTCCTCCGCTCCGGAGGCCCCGCTGCGACCTGGCCGCCTTCGTTCCCTGCGAGCTTCCTTCCCGCGGGGCTGAGCGACCGTCCAGTTCTCCGCGCGCCTGCGCACTCTCTCTGGAGTCTGGGTGCTACAGATTTGAGGGCGGAGAACCTCGGAGCAAAGTCCTGGCCTCAGTCTGGTGAGCCAGCCTCGGCTGTAGTCGTTGTTTTGCTGAAGCAAGCGAGCGTGGGACGGGCTGACTCTGCGGGCCGGGCCAGGCCGGGAGTGGGTCACGGAGCCCCCGGCCCCGGTGCGTTTCTTTCCGACTGATGGCTTGCGGTCCTGAGACGCGGAGGGCGCGGGGTTAGGGACCCGCGACTCTAACGGCGCTCGGCCGGGGTTGTGGGCGCGGCCTAGTCTGCAGTGCGAGACCCTGAGGTCTTGCGCAAGCCCGTCCTCGTCTCGACCACCTAGGCCCGGCGGAAGAAAAAAGACCCGAGATTAAAGTCGGCGGTGGAGCCCCATAAAGAAGTCCTCCGCTTAACGCCGGGCCTAGATTCGGGGCTGGCTTCTGAGGTCTGGGAGGACCGGCTGAACAGAAGACGACGCGGTGGGCCGCCCCAGGGGGTGGGCAGTTGCGGTGACCCGACTGCAGGGTGCCCGAGCTGCGAACTCGGACACGGGTGACCGCGGACCTTCGCTGGGCTCCTCCTCGGTTCCATTTGTGCATGTAGGTGGTGTGTAGCGAGGGTCAAGCGGCTACAGAGGGTGGGTCTTAACCGAATCAGGAAAAGCTTGATGTGATGAACCCTGTTTGCCTCCCCAGCCCTGCCAAGTAAGCAGAGAAGGCCTCTGAAGTGAAACGAAGCGCTCGCTGCTGTGCCTGTAAAAGCCAGGTTCTGTGAGTTTGTGCTGCTTCTTTGTTTCCATGAAATGCATTGATTTTCAAGACACGCGAGTTTTTAATTTCCTTTCCTTGGAATGCCCTGCTTAAGAATTATTTCAGTCATTGATTTGGGCCTAGGATTTCACTACCTAGTTAATGGCAGGGGACCTAATTAATAGAATTCCCGTTCTAGTATCTATTTAATATATCTCTACAGTTAGTTAACCATACGGTATCTATTCAGTTGTTCTGTGGGCACGGTTTTTCCTAAGGATTCTGATGATGTAAATACCCTGCTGTAAGTTAATGTTCGTGCATTGTTTTCGACCGTGATTTGTTAAGGAGCAGTTTAGGGTTTAGATATCTTTAATGATTCCAGAGTAGGAGTGGGAATTTTTTTTTTTTCAAGGGAATCCATGAGTGGTAATTTTTGGTACCAGCCAGATGTGGTTAGAGGTTTGGTAGCATGAATTTCTTTTGTTTTTGACAAATAAAAAGTTGTATATGTTTAAGGTGTACAGCATGATGTTTTGATATATGTACATTGTGGCATGGAATGATTACCACAATCAGACTAATTAGCATATCCTCCCATAGTTACTACCTGTGTGTGTGTGTGTGTGTGTGGGTGGTGAAGTACTTAAAATCTTTTAGCAAATTTCAAGTACATAATACATTATTATTATCTATAGTAACCATACTGTACATTATGTCTTCAGAAATGACTCATAACTGTAAGTTTGTAGTATGAGTTTGTTTTGTATATGCTTTTGGATAGACTGAGAGGTATATGAAGTTGGTTAAGAATTTTGAACCTGGATGAAGAGGGTTTGAATCTTCACTGCCCCTTAAACCTAAGTAAGTTTGGGCAGTCTTTCTGTGTTGCAGTTTAATAATGATATATATATACCTTACAGTTTTGTTTTGAAGATTACCTGGATTAATATCTGTAAAGCTCTTAGAAGAGTACCTGGCACATGAGAAGAGTGCTTAATTAATATTAGCTACTGCTATTAAATCATAATTCATAGTTATTCCCTATCAGTTTTCTATATTCCCAAGAGTAATGAAAATGTGAAGTTAATGATGCTTGCAAGCAAGATAATGAACCAGACACTCAAGTGAACCAGGACAGGGATTCTTAACATGCAAGTCTTTGGACTCCATTTATGGGTTTTCAGGGCAACTAAAACCTCTTAAGATTATATACAGAATTGTATATATTTGTCAATAGATAATTTCAGTGGGGAGGAAGCCTGTCATTTAATGATATTGTTAAAGTTGTATAAGACCCAATAATAGTGATTCTCATTTGTCTAGAATCAAAATCTGGAATAACTGGAAATGACTTGGGATAATCTTACAAAAGCAGTATCCAGCAATATGGAAATGGTTAGGTAACTCACTCCATCCACATCATAGAATGTTATATAATAAAAATGTTGTTTATAAAGAGTTAGTCTTAAGAAAAAAGTATATAATGTAGTATTGAGAAGTATTTATTGTGAATAAAAATCTATGAAATTGCTAAGTTACATGTAACTTGAACATTAAGTAGGAATTTTTAAGATATTTTGCAAGGATTTAATAACTAGTTATTCATTGGAGACTAGGAAGGGTAAGCTCAAATTATTGAGCAGATCCTGTGAAATAAACTTTGGTTTTTGTCTGCTGTACATACTGTCTCTTAATCATTTTGCAAATGCCATGAACTAGCATTGTGGTCCTTCACAGAAGGATCTCAGGATGTTATATTGAGATACAATATTCAAGAATTAAAAGAAATTACTTTTCAATCACATTGATTTCCCTGTTATTACCACTTATGCAGTCTTACTTAATTTTCTTAATGACTATGAGATACCTTGTCCTGACTCACTAAAAAGTTCTTTTTAATAGGAAGAGCTTTTTATTAAACAATATTTCTGATAATGGAGTCAGTACAGGCTTGTGAAATATTTAGTATTTCATTAAAATGGAAGAAAATTAAAATTATCCATCCATGGTCCCAGTATTCAGGAATAATAGCTATTAATTTTAGAGCATGTTTTACCAAAATATTTCTATGAGCATATGTGTTTTTGTATATGGCTTTATTTCTGAATAGTAAGGTAACTGAAAACTTAAACCAAGACCTGCAGTTCTTAGTTTAAACTAAAAGAGGAATTCCATGCTCTGATAGATTTTATAATACCTTCATGGATGTATGGAAAAACATGAAATCCCAGTAATCCCCTTCTGGTTTGAAAATCTTACAAGTATCTATAATTCTTAAGATAGGGATGGCAATTAAATTGAGAAACTTAATCATGTTTGACATTAATTTTAAAATCTCAGAGTTGAGATATTAGATTTTTGCCATCTACTGATATCTGTTTCATTTTAATGAGTTTTAAATCTTAATCATATTACATATTGTTTTGTAAATGATTTTTTTCTTTCAGTATATCTTGAATATTTTGCATACCTTGACTATTTTCTCAAACAGCATTTAATGATTATTTTGGTGTTCAATTTTAGGGATGTTTTATGAATTATTTAAGAAATCAGTTATTGGGCAGTGATGTTCAAAGCTGCCTAAGCAATTTCTTCAACAGGCTTTTTGGGTCCTATTACTTAACCAGCTTTTCATGTGGGATTTCAGAGATAGGAACATTTAGGAATACAGCATTGACTTTTGCCAGGTGGGATACAGGTGACACTCTTAAGTACACAGCTCAATTTTTGAAAGATTCCTAGAGTATGAAGTAGCTCTATTATGCCAGAAGCTTCATCATCCTCATCCTTCATTTGAGAGTTTGAGAAATGAATTAATGATAATTTCCTAGAAAATTAAGCTTACAAAAAAGCAGAAGTATTTAACCTCAGAGAAGACTTTTACAGGGAGGCAAATAGTCTGAGTACAATACATAGCCCAGTTGGTAATGGTATTTACATAATCATAATAATAGAAACTGAAAATTCATTTACCCTGAAAGAGAACAAAACCATATTGGAAGGATAGGGAGAATGCAGGTATGTATATGTGAGGTGGGAGATGGGTAGGTGAAAGATAGCTAAAACTATGCCTTCCACATTAGGAAGTCAATAGATAATGATTAAAATTGAAAATTTGGAAGTAACAATAGGAGCATGTTACTTAAATGTATGGAGTTGAAATACCAAAGGAAAGCTAAAAGAGGTGAAAATTGTTGCCTCCAGATTTGGAAGATAGGGGAGAGGATGGCAGGGATATAACTATTAGGACTTTTTGTAATATTCCTTGCAGAGTTATTTTTAACTGTCAGGTATAAGTGATACAAATTTTGTAAGTTTTTTATTAAAAAACTAGGGCTCCAGAGAAGAACAAAATAAAGATCACTTGGGATACGTTCAAGTAGAGATAACACGATAAAATTTTATTCCAAGTTCACTCAGACTATTTTGTGCACATGCATATACATGTCTGCATATGTATATAGTTTTCCTGCCAAAAATACAATCAGACTGCAATACTATTGTCTAACTTGTCTTCTTCTCCAACAATGTGTAGTGACCATCTTTCCATGACCTCAAAAAAGAATTACTTTTTAATTGGTGTTTAGTTTTCCATTGTGTGACTGCACAGTAATTTCTTTAACCTTTTAGAAGCGTATTTTGTATCTTTTTTGCTTTTTTGGTCCCATTATAAACATTTTCCACACATCATTTCATTCTTTCTACATTGTACCATGAGTGCCCATTTCCCCACAACCTTTGTAATATGAGGTATCGTCAGTTTTTCAAATCTGCTAATCCGTTACTTTAATATATACCTCCTTAGTTACTAGTGAGTTTTAACTAATGGATTACTTCTATTTGCTAGAGAATTATCCATGCTCAGGTTTCATAAATTCACTTTTCCCCAGCCAGGGTACCAAGGGAGATGGGTTGATAAATGAGATCATGCGGACAATACTGATGATTCTGAACAGGAAAATGGTGAACAGTGAGCTCTGAAGATTCTGGAAATGGTAGTTCAGCCTGGCAGAAGGGATCTCAGTGTGCAAGTATAGTTTTCTGTGATAAAGACTGCTAGGCATGGTCTATGCAAGTACTTCTCAAATTGTGGCATTTGGACCAGCAGAATCAGTATTTGGGAAGTTTTTTAGAAATACAAATTCTCAAGCCCAACTCCAGACCTAGTAAATGCCAGATTCTAGGAGTGGGGTCCTGCAAACTGTGTTTTAATAAGCCCTCTAGGTGATTCTAATGCAGTCAGTTTGATTACCAAACTTTACTGCCCATTATGATCACCAGAGGGAGGCTTTATAAAAATCTGAGGTTTTAAAAATCCTGATTTCCAGGTCATATTCTATACTAATTAAATCAGAATGTTTGGGGAATGAGAACCAGGCAGCAGTATATTTTAAAGATCTGAAGATGATTCTACCATCCAGCCATGTTTGGGAAATTCTTGTCTGCAGTATTTTCTGTCTTCATGTTTAGGGAGGCCAGCCAGATTCCTGAGTGTTAGAAAAAAGTTCTGATTTAGATGGTGTAGCCACTTCAGCTGGAAAGGTGGAAATGGAGGGAGATGGATCTACTCAGGACAGGTCTGGACAGCTCATTCTTAGGTCCAGATCAGCCTTCCTGGGGGTGGAGAATTAATTGGAAGCCCTTCTGCTAAGGTACACACATGTGCTTCCATGCAGGAGTCTCTGCTCTGTGTCTGTCCTTGTGTAACTGATTTCCCATATTTTTGGGGAGGACATAATATTTATCTAAACTACCTCTTACCTCTCATAACTTGTCTGTGTGTTGGTTGGTAGGTGGAGAGGCGTTACATATAGAATTGGAGAAAATAGAGTGAATTTTTAAAATTTGGGAGCTCATAGTCTATTTTGTTCTTACGGCTTCACATTCCTTCCTCAGCTCTGGCTTCTGTGGGCTCTACGTCTCCAGTAAGTGACCGTTGAAGGAAACTGACCAGTTCTTGCAGTTCTAAAATCATGGCTCATGTAAGTCGGTGTTTTTATTTGAAGTGCTGTAATTTTTTTCTGTTTATGTGAATGTTCTCATTAGTTATCCTGAAACTTCCTAAGAGCCCCATCTAACAGCTTCTCCCTAGTCTTTCCCTTTCTAGTGAGTGATAAAGACAGGCAGCCCAGGCCCCTTCCCTTTTGTTCTCCATCCATGTTACTGTGTGAATTGACCAAATTATTCAGCATATCCTATGTGTTCAGTCTTTGTCTAGAGCAGAGTTAAAGCAGAAATGAAGTCTGTAGAGGGAGCTGTTTGATCTGAGACTCTCAGGAGTCGAGAACACTTTAGTACTGTCCAATATATAACGTGTGCTAGATGTGTCATTTAAAATTGGCTAGTAGTCACATATTAAAAGTATATAGAATTAGTGCCTTAGCACAGTAGACAGCATGTCAGTCTCATAAAAAGTATAGAATAATATGCAAGGCATTTATATAATCTTAAACTTTTTAATTTAAAAGGGTCACATTAAAAAGGGTGAAAATAAAATGTTCAATTAATTTTAATGTTTAACTCATATAGCCAAAATATTATTTGGAATTATAATTAATAAAAATTATTGAGATATTTTACATTCTTTTTTCTTTCTAAAGAAAAGGGAAATTATTTTTTCTTCAACATCTGGTACATATTTTATACTTCCAGCACATCTAAATTTGGACTAGCCACATTTCAAGTGCCCAGTAGCAACATTTGCCTAAGCTAGCATATTAGACATTGCAGCTTTAGAGATTCTGTATAACCTAAATTCTAAATATAATTTAACATACTTTAAAGTATAGAAATATCTAAATATAATCATTCTTAAGTTTAACATTTATAAAATGGGCTATTGTGTAGTTAAAATATTCTATAAAGGATTTGTTATAAGGAAAAATGCTAATGATCCAATGTAGTGATGAAGTTGGGTCTGGAAGAAGTTCTCTAATTTTATATAATCTCTACTTTTAAAAATAGAGATTTTTATGGTTCATTTGGGGGAAGAAAGTCCATCAATTATTTTTTCTAATCCTTAAAGGAAGACAGATTTGAGTAAATCATACTTCCTGAGTATATTTTTAGGCCAATCCAAGCATTATTCTTTGAATACTGTTTCACCTAAATGTGAAATTCTGATTAATTACCTGAACATATCTAAAAATAAATAAAATTAGACATCCCACAGTACACAGGAAGTTTGGTCTGTAGCAGTGGTGGGCTGACTTCAGTGTGTGAGCTGGAGTCAACCCATGGCTTGTTTCTGTACAGACTGTAAGGTAATTACATTTTGAAAGAATTGTTTAAAAAAAGAAGGGACAGGGGAAAGATGTGCAATAGTCTTGTGGCTTGCAAAGCCTAAAATACTGGTCCTTTACAAAAATAAATAATTTTACAGACATACGTGGATCTGTCATTTCAGGATTTGGTGATGTTCAGAGATGTGGCTGTAGACTTTTCACAGGAAGAATGGGAATGCCTGAACTCAAGTCAGAGGAATTTGTACAGAGATGTGATACTAGAGAACTATAGCAACTTGGTGTCTCTGGGTAAGCTTACTTGTGTCAAATAATTTAAAATTCACGGGACTGAGTTTAAGGGCTGTTTTTCTAAGAACTAGCTAAATATCTGCTTTGTGGTTTGGGACTAGGCACCTTTAGCTATTAAGCTATTAAATAGCACCTTCAGCGTCCCCCATAACTCAGTGACCTTTACATCTTCCTTGCCTTTTCTGTAATTATTTCTCTTCAATGACAGATGTAAATTCTTAAACATTCACAACAAAACCATTGTCAAAGAAATCTGGTTTCATATCACTATAGATTGTCTATTATCTGTTTTTTTTTATTATTAAGGTATCATTGATGTTATGCACTATTATGAAGGTTTCACAAGAAAATCAATGTGGTCACTACCTTCACCCATACTATCGAGTCCCCCCTCCACACCCCATCGCAGTCACTGTCTATCAGTTTAGCAAGATGCCACAGTCACTACTTGTCTTCTCTGTGCTACACTGTCTTCCTCATGACCTCTCCCACACCATGTGTACTAATCTTAATACTCTTCAATCCCCTTCTCCCTCCCTCCCCACCTGGCCTCCCCTTTGGTAACCACTAGTACCTTCTTGGAGTCTGTGAGTCTGCTGCTGTTTTGTTACTTCAGTTTTGCTTCGTTGTTATACTCCATAAAATGAGGGAAATCATTTGGTATTTGTCCTTCTCTGCCTGACTTACTTCGCTGAGCATAATAACCTCTAGCTCTAGAAGGTCTGTTATCTGTTAACTCACCTTTAGTGTGAACAGGAAAACTGAGGTGTCTGGCTCTATATGCCTAGTATGTGATACTGGGTTGAATCAATAGTTGGTTAAAATTCAAGTGGACCCATTCAGTTTTACTACAACAGACATATTATCTTTTAATTAATTTATGAGTAAAAGTTTAAGATACATGAATTTTGTATTTAATATTAGATAAATGTCCTGGCAAGAAACTTATTTTCTCTTAGCAAAATATCAAAAAAATAGGAAAAATAGTACCTAATAAACATACATAGTGCTTATTATGTACTAGGCACTCATCTAAGCACTTTAATATTTATTAAATCAAATCTCACAACAATTCTATGGGTAGACATTGTGTGAAAACTGAAGCCATAGCAGCCCCAGTGACAGAGGCAGTATTTGAAACCAGTGCTCTCAATCATTACTTCCTCTCAAGAGCCAGATCCTGGATGAGTTTAAATTAAAATAAGATGATATGTCTACCTCTCTGTTATTCTTATTCTTTATGATCCTGAAGTAACTGTACTATGAATGTTTTTCAGTCCCGTTACTCTTTGTTCTGAAGCGTTGATCAAATAAATTCATTCTTTATTTTGTTCCATTATGTTTTTTTGAACAGGATGTTCCATTTCTAAGCCAGATGTAATTACCCTGTTAGAACAAGGGAAAGATCCCTGCATGGGTATGAGGGATGGGAAAAGAAGCTGGAGCCCAGGTGAGTAAATGCTAATCAGGCAAAGGTCCACACTTAGGGCCTGGCAAAGCCCTGCGTGCTGCTGGGCAAGGAAACACTGGCACTGAGCAGACTTCTAAAACTATCTACTAATTTATAGGAAGAAGATAGAGCAACATGTTCTACTATACCTTGGGAACATAGTCAGCAAATTCAGAACATAGGAAGTACTACAGGGTCAAAAACAGTTTCTTCATCAAATTGCAAGAAAAATCAGAAGATAATAGGAGAACCTGTAGATTAAAATGTATATAGACAACATGTCAACCAATTATACTCCGTGGACTTTGTTTGGATCAGATTACTATTATTAAATTGTTTAAAATTTTATTTATGAGACAGTTGGCAGTGTGAACACTGATTTTTGATAATCTTGAAGAATTACTGTTTTTTTTTATTGGTATTATTATTATTGTTAAAAATCCCTTTAAAAATCCTGAAATAAGTACAGAATAGTACAATATGAGATTTGCTTCAATCAAGGAGCGGAAAGTAGATTGGGGTTAGGAGAGGGGATTGCATAAGAGGTGTAAGCATGGCTTGATGGTTGGTGAGATCAGCTCATAGAAATGTGGACATTTGTTATACTGTTCTACTTCTGTATATGTTAGAAATACTCTGAATAAAGTTTTGTTTTAAAGTTTTGGTAGATTAAAGAAAATGAGAGGTGAGGCAATAGTGACAGTAAGTATATACAACTGTTGGGATAAATTTTGTTATACAAGACCTGTGGAATAGAGGGAATGTATTTTAAGATGTGAGGTTAGTACATGTTTGTAGGGTGAAGGGAATGATTTCAAAGAGGAAAATTGATGGAGTAGAGAATGATAATTTTGGAAGCAACCTTCAGTAGATGAGTAGGAGTCAATTTATGGAGAAAAACATGCATGCATATGGTTTCTATCCAACAGGTTGGTTGGATAATGTGGTGAAGGGGAGAATAAGTATTTTTCCTTCTGTTGTTTCTAATTCCTTTTTTGAACTAAGCAGTAAGATTATCAGCAGAATGTGAGGACTGAATATGTCATTGGAATTCAATGTAGACTATTCAATCTTTGATCAGTATTGATACTCAGAAGTAAAATTCTATGGTAATAGGGTTTTAACATACAGTTTTCTTGGTACATTAACCCTGGTGTTAATTGACTAAAACTGCCTCTGTCATAACTCCCCTGTATCCCATATCATTTTGTATCAGAAAAAAAAAGTCATTAAAGACATTATACCTCAAGAAACAAATTAATTTTATGACCAGGTAATTTACTTCTCATTTTTTTATTTAAAACTGATTCCCTACAAATGGAAACATTTCTCATTTTACATTGACCCTAAGATGAGCTAATATTTTGCTTTCACATTAGCATTGTTTACTAGAGTAAAGTCCTCTAATTCAGTAGAATCCAAACTAGAATTTGGTTTTTTAATTTTAAGTAGTTAAATATTTTACATATATTTTTTAAAATTTGGAGCTTTAAAATTTCCTCCCATAGACCAATCTTTTCATATGTTGTCTTTTTGTTTCAGTGTACATCCAGCCAATTCTTTCTTGATTAAATCACACATATAATGCATAGGCTATTATTTCTAGTTTCAATTTATTTAAAGTAGAACAAGAACCTAAAGATACTTGTGAAAAAAACTGAGTGTAAAATCCTTCTTGAAATTTTGTTTCCTGTCAGTCTGTACTGTTTTCTCACCCATGCCTACTTTGACAACAGTGCAATGTGCATCTGTAGCTGGTACTGCCAAAATATTCAACTTCTAGTGCTTGCAATGGTAAGAACTAGCAAATTTGGGAACAAATGGCTTTTTTTTTTTACAGAAATCATAAGATTACAGCTCAGCTGTTCATGCTCTAGAGAAGTCTCCTAGATGAGAACGTTCAGCATGTCAAGATCTTAATCTGGCACGTCACTTAAGTAGTGGGCCATGTATGATAATCTTGACTTTACTATATCCACACTAGGAGTATTTTGTTTTTAATGAAAACATTGAAAGGATATTTTATAACTTGTCCCATTTTATTTTTTATGAGTGAATAATATGGACATTTTGTCCTAAGTTTTCTTATATTTATTTAGTTAATTGTCTGCTTACTTCATTTATTCCATTACTTTGTCCTTTATCTTATGCCAATGTGTATGGACTTTTATGTTGTGAACACTTTCTCATTTTTCTTACAAATGTTTTGGTCTTTTGATTTTTTACTGTGACAACCTTTTAGATCACTGGTTTTTAATCTTTATGAGTAAATTCTTTGAAATTACCATGTTATAACATTCATCACACCTTTATAGCTGCCTACTTATTTACTACTAAGATTATTTTACTAATTACTGGTCATTTTACCTATAACTAACATCTTATCTGTTTTAATGAGGCCTTAAATTGACTTTTTCCCAAAAGTTCTTACAAAATTGCCAGTTTTGTATTGTTTTCTTGGGTGGGGAGATAGAGACAGACCAGCAGGCACTCAGGAAGGGAGTGAGAGGAAGAGAGGGATGGAGGGAGGAGGGGAGGGATGGAAGAAAGGAAGGCAGGAGGGAGGGAGGAAACAGGGGAAAGGAAGAAGGGGGGAAGACATGCATGGATTTCATAACAGTATTTTCTATGCCATTCATTTATCTGTCTGCTCACATTTTATCCACACTTAATCTTTCTTGCCTGTTAATACATTTTTAATATATCCTCTTTAAAGTAAACTTACTAAAATATAAATATAAACAAAAAAATCGTAAGTGTGCAGTTCTCTGAACATTCTGATCACACCCATGTAATCAACACACAGATTCAGAGCTTTATTAGAATAGCAGAAACTACCTCTACCTCTACTTCCAGGCATTCCTCCCGACCAAAATTAACCACTATCCTGACTTTCTGCTTTCAAGCTTTATAAAAATGGAATCAATACAATGCATATTCTCTTATGTCTGGCTTTGTTTATTCACCATTCTGTTTATGAGATCCATGATGTTGCATGTACTTGTAGATAATAAATTCTCACTATTTACGGTATTGTGTTATGTCAGTATGTAATAATGTACTTAGCCATTCTTCTGTTTTTGAACACTTGGATTCTTTTATTTTTTAAGTGTATTTTTTTGGAGTATAGTTGATATACAATCTTATATTGGTTTCAAGTACACAACACAGTGATTCAGTAGTTACACACATTAATTAAATCCTCACCCCAACCAGTGCAGTTATTATCTGTCAACGTAGAAAGATGTTACAGAACCACTATGTTCTCCATGCTGCACTTCCATACCCATGACTAGCTTATATTATGATAGATTTTTGTGCTTCTTATTCCCTTCACCCGCCACACCCACCAACCCCACTACTCCCCCAGGGTAACCACAAGTCACTTCTTAGTGTCAGTGAATCTACTGCTGTTTTGTTCATTTTGTTTTTATATTCCACATGTAAGTGAAATCTTATGGTATTTTTTTCTCCACCTGGGTTATTTCACTGAGCATAATACCCTGTAGGTCCACCCATGTCACAAGTGGCAGGATTTCTTTTATTTTTTTATGGCTGAATAATATTCCACTGTGTATATATACTGCATCTTCATTATCCATTCATCTATGGTAGACGCTTTGGTTGCTTCCCTCTCTTGGCTATTGTAAGTAATATGGCAGTAAACATAGGGTTGCATATATCTTTTTGAATCAGAGATTTTGTTTTCTTCAGGTAAATTCCAAGAAGTGCATTTACTGGGTTATATGGTATTTCTGTTTTTAGTTTTTTGAGGAACCCCCATACTGCTTTGAATAGTAGTTGCACCAATTTATGTTTCTACTAACAGTGTAGAAGGGTTCCCATTTTTCCATATCCTCACCCATACTTGTTATTTCTTATCTTTTAGATAGTGACCATTCTAACTGCTGTGAGGTAATATCTTATGGTTTTGATTTGCATTTCCTTGATGATTAGTGATGTGTAGCATCTTGCCATCCACCTTTTGGCCATCTGTATTTCCTCTTTGGAAAAATGTCTGAACATTTGGGATTCTTCCCAGTTTAGGCATATTAAAACTAATGTTGCTATAGTGTACATTTTTAAAAATACCTTTTTCTTTTTGAAAGGTACTGAACCCCTGTAAAAAATTTTTGAGAAAAAAATTTGTCTAACTCTTCCAAAAAATTTGAGGAAATATACATTTGGGAAATATATCTTTCCTAGAATTTTATTAACCTGTAACTATGGTACAATCCTATTGTTATACCTGAAAAATCACTAACATACTATGTAGGAAGTACCCAAGTGGTATTGGCTATGAAGACTTCAGGGAGACTATAGTGAAAGGTATGAAGGAACAAAACAGTTTGAATATTTATAACATAGATGTTTACAGTTAAATAAACTCAAATGAAGATAAGTAGAACCTCTCATAGTAGAAAATGAGCTGTAATGGAGATAGCTACAAGTGAAAGTAGAGAGACAGTTGGAAGGATGATCAAATGTAAAGAAATCTATATTTTGACTGAGATTGCTTAGCTTAGATGTGCTGGTGTTTCCCATCTCAATAGGAAATGATAAAAAAATATTTAATCAGTATACTAAAGTGTAAGACTGGAGGCAAAACAATGTGTGCAATACTGTTAACTATGTATGGAAGTTTAATAATTAACAGTAACTGTGCTGTGGGTTTGTCAGTGAAAGGCCGTTTCTGCCCTTGAAGAAGTTAACCTTGTTCAAGGTTAGAAAACATTTTCCTTAAAACTTTTTTCAGTCTTGTTACATACTCATTAATTTTCCCATTTCTTATTCTGTTTATTTCATATGGTTATTTGAGTTTCTTAGTCTGTTTACTTCAACTGGGTTTTCTTTTTATTATAAAGTTTTTATTTGCTTATTTCTTTACCTTTTCTAGAATAAGAAAATTGTATGCATTTATCTTGTTTTCTTTCAGATTTAGAATCCAGATATGACACTAAAAAGTTACTTCAAGAAAAGGATATTTGTGAAATGAATTTATCTCAGTGGGAGATAATGGAAAGAATTAGAAGCTGTGGCCTCAAAAACTCCTTTTTCAGAAAAGTTTGTGAATACAAAAAGTTTGAGGGACATGAAGGTCCTCAAGAAGGATATTTCAGGCCAGGGAAAAAAACCACCTCTGGAAAAATGCCTACTTATAGAAAACTTACAACTCTTACTCTGTATACAAGAATTCATAATAGAGAGAAACCTTATGAATGTGGGGAATGTGGGAAGGCTTTTAGAGTTCGCCAACAACTTACTTTCCATCAGAGAATTCATACTGGTGAGAAACCCTATGAATGTAAAGAATGTGGAAAAGCCTTTAGACAGTGTGCCCACCTTAGTCGACATCAGAGAATTCATACTTCTGACAAACTCCTTGAATGTAAAAAATGTGAAAAGATCTTTACATGTGGTGCAGATCTTCGAGTACATCAGAGAACTCATATTGGTGAGAAGCCCTATGAATGTAAGGAATGTGGGAAGGCTTTTAGAGTGCGAGGACAACTTAATCTCCATCAAAGGATTCATACTGGTGAGAAGCCCTATGAATGTAAGGAATGTGGGAAGACCTTTAGACAGTATGCGCACCTTACTCGACATCAAAGACTTAACATTGCTGAGAAGTGCTATGAATGTAAGGACTGTGGGCAAGCTTTTCTGTGTAGTACAGGCCTTAGAATACATCACAAACTTCATACTGGCGAGAAGCCCTATGAATGTAAAGAATGTGGGAAGGCCTTTAGAGTGCGACAACAGCTAACACTCCACCAGAGGATTCATACTGGTGAGAAGCCCTATGAATGTAAGGAATGTGGAAAGACCTTTAGTCGTGGTTATCATCTAACTCTCCATCAGAGAATTCATACTGGTGAGAAACCTTATGAATGTAAGGAATGTCAGAAGTTCTTTCGTCGTTACTCAGAACTTATTTCACATCAAGGTATTCATATTGGAGAAAAACCCTATGATTGTAAAGAATGTGGGAAGACCTTTAGACTATTTTCACAACTTACTCAACATCAGAGTATTCATTTTGGTGAGAAACCTTATAAATGTAGGGAATGTGAGAAGACTTTTAGACTGCTTTCACAGCTTACTCAACATCAGAGTATTCATACTGGTGAGAAACCCTATGATTGTAAGGAATGTGGAAAGGCCTTTAGACTTCATTCATCACTTATTCAACATCAGAGAATTCATTCTGGTGAGAAACCATACAAATGTAAGGAATGCAAAAAGGCATTTAGACAACATTCTCACCTTACTTATCATCAGCGTGTTCATAATGTAACAAAATAATTATAAGAAATCCTTTTGTGAATTTTGTGTTAAGGAGCATTAGAAAATAAATTCTAGAGGGAAAGTTTTTGAATGTGGGGATCCCCTTTGGCTTCATGCTCACGAGGTTTATTTAAAAGAAAGTAAATGAATATGGAGTTTTTCATCTCCATTCAAACCATGTTAATCTTTAGGAAATGTGTTCTAGAAAGAAACTGTCTTAAAGGAGTGAATGTGGAAAAACTTTTATGTTAAGTGTGATCACCTCTATTCCATCTATGCAGTATACCTAAGGAGGCTGCTAGGGCACTAATTTGTTCAGAAAATTGATAAACAATGAAAGAAGAGTCATTTAGCTTGCATTTCCTTTATGAACTATATTTCAGGGCACATAGAAGTTGAGATGTTTATTAGAGAGTTTTGCAGCACATAATGAAATGATGGACATAGACATGATTCTCAAAATAGAAGTTAGAACCGTTAGGTCAAAGACTGATATGAACTTCATAGTGAATATATCAGGATAGCAACCTCTGACACCACAGATGAATTTTAACCTCATCAAAAAATAGGACAAAATATTTTATACCTCCTAATGAGAAACCATAAGACATAATATCTTGTCAAAAAATATTGAACTGGACTCTAGTTAAGCATCAAGAACTAACTCCCAGTTTAAAGAAAATTCAAGGAAGAGAAAGAACAAATTATATGACATAAGAAGTAATTAAGCAAATCTAAAATGTGGGTAAAGACCCACAAGTAGAATGAACTGAATTCTCAACCAATAAAATAGTATTGAAAAGGAGTTGGAACTCTTAGATATTAAAAGTCTTAAGAGATGTATCAAATATAATGATTGAGTGGTTCTTATTTAGCTAGCAAGTTGAACAAATATAAAAACACTTGTATGACAAGTGGGGAAAGGGGAATATTGACAGTATTAGGTAATATTAAGAATTTATGATTTTGTTAGGTCTAATAATAGCATTGCAGTTAGTAAAAATGTTTGTTAGAGATAAGTTATGAAGTTTATACCCATAAGATTTTATGATGTCTGGGATTTCCTTTAAAATGCTCATGCAAAAGAAAAATTAGGATAGATTACCTTAGTTTGTCAAAATAATGTAAGATGAGTCTTGGGTACATAGTTTTTTATTGTTTTTACTATTTCCCCTACTTTTATGTATTTGTAATTTTCCATAATATTCTTTTAAAGATAAAATTAACTGAAATTATAACCAGTTTGAACTGAATGATTTTTTTTAAATGCCTACATATCAAAACTTGTGGATGTTGTCAAAGTTGTATGCACTGGGATATTAAATGTGCTATAATCGGATTTGGGAAATTAAGATTGAGGGTCCAGATTTTATCTAGTTCACCTATCACTACATGTTATAATGTCTGTCCCATAATATTTCAAATGCTTAAAGAATGAGTAAAAAAAATTACTACAACTAAGTATGGAAATTTATGAAATAGATCATTGTCCAATGAGATTGTTGCTAACAACATGTTGAGCACTTAGAGCTATTGAGCACTTGAGATGTGGCTATTTCAAATTAAAATGATGTTAAGTGTGAAATAGAGTGTTTTGAAGATTTCTAAAAAAGGAATGTAATGGAACTCTTTCTCACAGCATTCCCCTGCTGTGACTGGGAAGCTCTGATATTCAATGCATTGCATCATTACATAGTACAGAACCCAAAGTCTCTTTCTCCCCCTAAGCAGCATGGTTGCATACTGAGATCTTGGTCTACCCTGGGTCATTTGTTTTCTTCTTCAGTTCTCCTCCCTCTCCCATTTCCTCCCTTTTTCCTCATAAAGTGTATCCTGTGGTTACAGATGAGTGGTTTTCTCAGACTGTTTTTAGCCTGTAGGCATTTTGTGATCCAATGGCCCTTTTTCTTCATTTTGTACTATTTCTGTACCATTAAGTTCAAACTTGCAGTGCTTCAGGTAGTACAATTCTCTTTAAAATTGTATATTTTCTATGATTTTGTTAAGGTTCACTCAATTAGGCAAAAGAGCAACAGGCTTTTCTCTGTCCTGGGGTCCCCATGAGGCTACTCTGGAAAAAAACAATTTTCAAATTCTTAGAAGCCCTGCTGTTCCACAGAGGGACAAAAAATAGCTTCATCTTTACTCTGAGGTTGCATTTTCATGGCAGCACTGTATATTTGATTTGTTTTCCCTCTCAGGCCCTTTATAATTTTGAGAGCCCTTTGCTACTTGGAATCATGTTCATGGAACCCTGTATATTTCCTTGAAATATTACTTGAAATATGAACCAATTGATAAAATGAGTATAATGTGATTTTCTGTTAATATGATGGATTGCCTTCATGGATTTACAAACATTGGTCAAGCCTTACATCACTAGAATTAACTCTATTTTAGCATATACTTTAGAAATACATATTGCTGATTTCCCTTGATTGCTATGATTTGCTAGTACTTTTTAAAGGATTTTTGCATCTTTATCCATGAGGGGTACTGGTCTATAGTTTTATTCTGTCTTGTCTCATTTTGGTATCAGGGTGATGGTAGCCTCAAAATGAGTTTGGCACTGTTACCACCTTTTAATTTCTGGAAGTATAGGATTGTTAATTTTTCAAATGTTTGCTAAAATTCTCCAGTAAGACCATTTAGCCTTGTAGTGGACTCAGTGTGTTTCCTTGAAATTCAGGTATTGACATCTTAACCTCCAGTGTGATGGTATTAGGAGGTGGTGTCCCCTAAAGGTAATTAGGTCATGAGGATGGAACACTGTTAAATGGGATTCATGCCATTATAAAAGGGACCCCAGAGAGCTCTCTCACCCTCTTCAACCATGCCAGGATACAATAAGAAGATGGCAATCCACTCTGGAAGAGAGTTCTCACTAGAAACCAACCATGCTGTTCCCTTGATATCTGACTTCCAGGCTCTGAACTGTGAGAAATACATTGCTGTTGTTTATACACCCACACTATGGTGCTGTGTTACAGCAGTCAAAACTGAGTAAGGAAAAATTGGCAACATAAGAGGGGTGCTAATGTAACAAATACCTAAAAATGTGGAAGTGGCAGTGGAATGGAATAATGGTAAAAGGCTGGAAGATTTGAGATAAATGCAAAAAATAAGGCTTCCTGGGTAACTTTGGTGAAAAATATTGAAGAGAAAAACAATATTCTTAGGAACTAAATATCATGAACAGAATGTAGAAATATGGATGGTAAAGGCCATTCTGATTAAGTCTCTAACATAAATGAGGAACATGGAAGGGGATTAAACATGGCAGTGTTAGAGGTGAGACAGAGACCTCCTGAAACCACATATAATAGGAAAATATAATTAATAAAACTAATCCTAAAAGAGCAACAGGAATGAAGGCTGTGCCAGACTGCATTCACCTGGAGAAAAGAACAGATGTCGCAAAACAGTAACATACCAAAGCCGAGACCCAGTGGGACTGAAGCCCTTCCCCGACCCCAGCTCACTGGCAGGAGGAAGAGAAACAGCAGGGAGGGAGTAGAGTCCTAGGACTGCTGAACACCTAGCCCTGGAGATCTACTCTGGGAGCATGAACCTACATTCCATGGTTCTGTGGTGATTAGTGGGGTTAGAAAGCAACACAGGCAGAATACCTGGAGAGACTGAGATTGTAACCACCTGTGGAAGACAGGGATCCATATCCAGCTGCTCTAGGGGGCAGTCTGAGAGACTTCCTAACAGCAAGAGGGCTGCGAAAGGGGTAAGGGTTGCACAGAGCTTATTGCTCAGGAGAAAGGACAGGCAGACAAAATTATCTGGGTGCACTCTGCACAGCAGGTTGGAAACTTTCAGGATCTTGAAAAGCTCCATCTCCTTGGATGGCAACACAGCTCCAAGGCCCCCCACCATGATATGCAGCCTGCTGCACCTTCCTCCTGGACAGCCCACACCAGCTTGCAAACTGGCAACCCCTGCCCCAGTGTCAGGCCAAACAAAGGGAAGCCCCATCTACAGCAGCTGCAAATACAAAGCATAGCAGCTTACACCTGTGTGTTTGGCCCACTGGTTCTGGCAGTGGAGACAGGCATAGCAGCTGGGAAGCAGGAAACTGCTCTTACAGAAAAATATTCAAGGACAAATTTAGGATGGAGATTCAATCATTAAGAAATTCCATATCTGAAATGAAACATACAATGGAAGGATTTAAAAGCAGATTAGATGTAGTAGAAGAGATGGTAAGTGGAATATAAATTAGAGAAGAGGAATACAAAGAAGCTGAGGCATGGAGAGAAAAAAGGATCTCTAAGAATGAAAGAATATTGAGAGAACTGTATGACCAATCCAAATGGAACAATATTCATATAATAGGGGTACCAGAAGAAGAAGAGAGAGGAAAAGGGATAGAAAGTGTTTTTGAGGAGGTAATTGCTGAAAATGTCCCCAGTCTGGGGAATGAGACACTCAGGCCATGGAGGTGCACATCTCCCAACACAAGGAACCCAAGGAAGACAACACCAAGACATAAAATAATTAAAATGGCAAAGATCAAGGATAAAGACAGATTTTAAAAGCAGCTGGAGGGAGAAAAAAGATCACATATAAAGGAAAACCCATCAGGCTATCATCAGACTTCTCAACAAAATCTTACAGGACAGAAGGGAGTGGCATGATATATTTAATGCAATGAAGCAGAAGGGCCTTGAACCAAGAATACTCTACCCAGAAAGATGATCACTTAAATTTGAAGTAGGGATTAAACAATTTCCAAATAACCAAAGCTGAGAGAATTTACCTCCCACAAACCACTTCTACAGTGCATTTTGGACAGACTGCTAGAGATGGAAGTATTCCTAAAGCTAAATAGCTCTCACCAGGGAAAATAAAACCACAGCAAAGAAAGTAGAACAATTAATTACTATGCAGATGCAAAATCAAATCGACTACATCCAAAGTCAATGAAGGGATAGACAAAGAGTACTGAATATGATACCTAAGATATAAAAAACAGAGGACGAGGGAAAAAAGACCCTTTATGTTGTGTTTATAATAGCATACTAAGTGAGTTAAATTAGACTGTTAGATAGTAAGGAAATTACCCTTCAAACTTTGGTAACCACGAATGTAAAGCCTGCAGTGGCAATAAGTACATACCTATCGATAATCACCCTAAATGTAACTTGTCTGAATGCACCAACAAAAAGACACTGAGTCACTGAATGGATAAAAGAACAAGACCCATCTATATGCTGTCTACAAGAGACTCACTTCAAACCCAAAGACATACACAGACTGAAAGTAAAGGGATGGAAAAAGATATTTCATGCAACTAATAGGGAGAAAAAAGCAGGAGTTGCATGACTTGTATCTGACAAAATAGAGCTTAAAACAAAGAAACAAGAGACAAAGAAGGACATTATATAATGATTAAGGGGTCAGTCCAACAACAGGATATAACCATTATAAATATCTATGCTTGCAACACAGGAGCATCTACATACTTGAAACAAATACTAACAGAATTAAAGGGGGAAATACAATGCAATGCATTCATTTTAGGACACTTCAACACATCACTAACTCCAAAGGACAGATCAACCAGACGGAAAATAAGTAAAGAGACAGAGGCACTGAAGAATGTATTAGAACAGATGGACCTAACAGAAATCTACAGAACATTCCATCCAAAAGCAAAAGGATACACATTCTTGTCAATAGCACATGGAACATTTTCAAGAATAGATCATATACTAGGCCACAAAAAGAGCCCCAGTAAATTTAAAAAGATTGAAATTGTACCAACCAGCTTCTCAGATCATACAGGTATGAAACTAGAAATAAATGAAACAAAGACAATGAAAACGGCCACAAACACATGGAGGCTTAATAACATACTCCTAAACAATCAATGGATCAATGACAAATAAAAACAAAGATCAAGCAATATATGGAGACAAATGACCACAATAATTCAACACCACAAAATCTGTGTGATGCAGCGAAGGCTGTGCTGAGGGAAGTATATTGCAATACAGGCCCACTTCAATAAAGAAGAACAATCCCATATGAATGGTCTAAACTCACAATTAACAAAACTAGAAAAAGAACAAATGAAGCACAAAGTTAGTAGAAGGAGGGACATAAAAATGATTAGAGGAGAAACAAAATCAAGAAGAATGAAATAATAGAATCAATGAAATTAAGAGCTGGTTCTTTGAGAAAATAAGCAGAATAGATGAACCCCTAGCCAGAATTGTCAGAAAAAAAAGAGTCTACACACATAAAGAGAATTAGAAATGAGAAAGGAAAAGTCACTACAGACACCACAGAAATACAAAAATTATTAAAGAATACTATGAAAAATTATATGCTAACTGGATGACCTAGAAGAAATGGACAACTTTCTAGAAAAATACAACCTTCCAAGGCTGACCCAGGAAGGAATAGAAAATCTGAATAGACCAATTACCAGCAAGGATATTGACTTGGTAATAAAAAAACTACCCAAGAACAAAACTCCAGGAACAGATGGCTTCACTGCTAAATTTTATCAAACATTTAATGAAGACCTAATACCCATCCTCAAAGTTTTCAGAAAAGTAGAAGAGGAGG